TTTATCAGCATGGTATTAATCAATGATCTTGCATGTTGATAGTTGTCTGAGTTTGCAGGTCATAGTTTTGCACTGATGTCAATATTCACAGTGACTTGAGACTTGATATTTGACAAATATTTTAATCTGAATGTTGTTTTCTCTTTTTATTTAATATCATTTTAAAAGAAAACATAACAAAAATGGTATCAAAGCAAAGCATAACAACAGCATGTAGCTCTGCCTCTGGATACAAATAGACTTCAGCATATCTTATGCCTCATGTCTGATGTAACCCCCTGTAATTCCACTCAGAGGGGCAGCTCTTACAGCTGGGCCTCCTGACCCGCTTTCCCTGGGAGAACCAGCTTAACATCCTCACTGGCATCATAATCAATCAGTTCTGGATCCTCAACACTGATTGGAATGAGGTCCTCCACAGTATCAGTGTGCCGACTTGCCCTGATATCTGACTTAACTCTTTTTTGTGAGGGGAAGTCTCTTTTGCAGACTGTTGCAGATGTGGGGAATAGCTAGCATCATTATCCCAACCAAGTGCAGGATATTCTGCAAAAATCTAGTATACTGATCAAACCAATTTACAAAATCAACAGTGACGTTTGTCATGTTATGTTTTGTTTGAACAAAGTTGTTATTCAAAAAATAATTAAAGTAATAAAGTAATTTCAGTCTTAATGTCAACAAAAATATACCTGCAGCACAAACAGACTCACCTGTCTCGGACGGTGGAGAAATGCTCTAAGAGAAACTTCACGTCTCCAATACCATGGTTCAGGACCTCCAGCTTATCATCTGGCCAAAAAATGAGGCTCACGTTGAAACACCTCACTGCCTTGGATGTTGATGTGTGCTTCATATTCTCCTCTATCAGTAAAAGACAAAGACAGAAAATGTGAAAATACATAGGCCTGTGAATTATACTATAGATATGTCAAAGTGCTCACAATGTAGTGATAGATTACAATAACTCACCAAGCAGACTGCTAAACCTTTTCTTTAGGTGTTTCACTGCAGACTCATAGGTCAGCTCTATGGCTCTTTGCAGTCTAGGGGCACACTGGCTGATTGTAGACCTTCTGCCAGCTTTTCAGCCTCCCCTTTACAAACGGTGACACCATGTGAAGCATAAAGACTGAAAATACTACGAAATACATTTTATGAACATGAAGTAAACATTAGATTTTATATAAACATCACATGCCTGATACTTTAACCCCTTTCTGCCTGTTTCTGTTGCTCCTTCATGGCTGCCAGGATCTCACACAACTTGCCACCATTTTGTGTCTGGCTTCCATACTTTCTATGGTAGTGAGGAGACGTTTGAAGCCACTAATAGCCTGGAAAAACATAGTTGATTTTTTATTGGCATATAAGAAACATGTTAGGGGAAGATTCAAAATATATTTCACCCTCTGGTCTCTGTCTCCTTTACCTGAGGTAGGATTACATCATTGTCTGTAGCAGCAGGCTAAACCGGCTGATGGGAGAGAAAAGGTCTGACAGGAAGTGGCAGAATGCCATAAATGTTCCATCGTCCTGGGTGGCTTTGAACTGCAAATATATCAGTGTGTTTTCATTCTCAGCTCACATACAACCCCAGAATTAAACTGATTTCAATAATGAAATACCATCCACCTTTAAACAGTGAGATACTAACCTTTCTTGCTCTCCCAGCTGTGTCTGCAGTGGCTGAGGCACCTGCCAGCTGATCCATCTGCATATATACTGCAGTAAACTGCCCAGAACTCTGGGTGCTGCCGTCCTTCCCTGGTTTAGGAAGCTGCTCACCCTCCGGGACACATGGGGCAGCCTCCTTGTCCCCTTCACCCAACTGGCTTCATTCACTGTCACTCCAGTTTCAGCTCCTGATTGTTTGAGCTCCCTCATTGATTTGGGGCTGCAGTGGTATGTTTTCCAGATGAGGTGGTGCAGGTCATGTACCTGCCCAGTTACAGAGACATCCCTTTGAACACTCAACAACCCCAGCTCCAATCTTTAGATAGAACAGAATGTAGCATATAATTAGGTTTTTATAGAATGACTATGTTTACAGGCAAATGTTAAGCTACAACATAGCTGTGTGGCCTGCAGTGTAATGGGACAGCAAAGGACCCAGCCTCTGCCTGGAGGAGAGATATCACTCCACCTCTGGGGCCCAGAGTAACAGCTGCTCCATCTGGCCCAAGGCGATGGGTTTGTCCAACCAATTTGCACATTTTGGACCGAGGCTAGCAAATGCTTCTTGGTTACATCATAACATGCATTACATTAAGCAAACAGATATTGAATTCTTTGTCATTTTTATCATATTTCATCATTTGGATTTTTTATATTTGTAATGCACAATGAACATTTTACATTTCATTTGTACATTAATGACAAACCTGCACTTTGTAATCTTTGTGACAGCTTCTTTCACACTGAAATTTCCCTTTGCGTAAAAAAATACTCTATCTATTGTAAAATATACCTTGAACATTAGGCTTATACACTGCCCGGCCAAAAAAAACGTTAAACGAAAAAGTTTAGGTTATTATAATGAACATGTATAAGTTTATTTTCATGGTCATATAGTCATAGCATCATATTTTAACAGAATTCACTCACTCACACACTTCTTACCTTCTGCATGGGCGTGTTCAATCTCAATACGGCCACTTAGGATATTGGACGGCCTTTCAGTGACACATTCTCACATTTTTGGCTGGAAATATCAGTTTCA